CAACCTAATTACCAAAACATTTAATGTAGGTTTTTTTTCTGACTCTAAAAGCAATATGTATTTATTGCAGATATTAAAAATATGACATATTATGAACAAGAGAATAAGAATTGCCTGCTTTCTCATCACTTGAAGATATTTGTTAATATTTTGATGTATATCTTCTTAATATAGTTTCCCAGTATATTTTTATATGGTTATTATTAACCTTTTCTTTTTCACTTTATGTCATGATCATCCCCTCATGTTTTCAGATATCCCTTTTCAAAACTACTTTATCGGCTAGACAGTATTCCAATGTCTGTAACACAAATTATCCCGTTAGCCTATAATTTGGGACGTCTATGTAGTTTCTGATCCTTCATTAATATAATCACTGTGATGGACGTTCTCACATATCTTTGTGCATTTCATGGTTTGTGCGGGATAATTCTTGAAGTGGAAGGATTGAGTTAAAAGTAGGGACATTTTAAAAGCTTTTGATGAATACTGCAGACTTAGCGAACAGAAGTATACAATTCTAAGCCCCACCAGCAGTGAATGAGAGCAGTTTTTCCTCCCACACCCTCACCAACAAAGTTTTGTTGATTCGACAGAAGAAAAATGTATTTTATTGGCTTTTTCATTTTGTATTTCTTTACTAGTGAGATTAAATATTTTTCATGTTAATCGATTCTGTGCATTTTTTCTTCTGTAAATGTCAATTGTGTATTCCTTCCTTTTTCTAAAAATGAAAGCATCAGGTTTTTGTTGTTGATTTCCAGAGACTTCGTTTTTTAACAGGGGCATTTTTGAATGTGAACAAAGCTAAAGCTATAGGCATAGGCAGATTCGCACAGTGAATGCCCAGGGACCCATAGGTCAGCTTTAACAATTAGGAATTTAGGACCCCTTATTTCATGTGTCCCCCTCTCCCTCCCACTATGTTTTAAAACGGATCCCAGACATCCTGTCACTTCATCAATATTTTAGTGTGCAGCCCTAAAAGATGAGGACTCTAAGAGCATTTCGATATAGGAACAGTATTAACATTTTGTTTTGAGTAACTGCAAATATTTAGCAGCAGATCATTTCCCCCAAGTTTTTGTTTGCATTTTAGTTTTGTTTATGGCTTTTTTTTTTTTTTTTTTTGCAACGCAGAAATATAATTAGTAGGATTTATACCTCCTTCCCTTCATGGTTCCTTCATTTGCCTTTATGCCTATTGGAGGCTAAACAATCTCTCTGAGATCTTATCCAAGGCCAGATGAGACTTCACTGCCATGTGGAGTGAATTATTACAGAATGCATTTCAGAATATCCACAACAATGCTAAATAGTAATGGAGACAACAGACGTCCAGATCTGATTCCTGATTTTTTAATGAGCGTGTTGATCTGACTCTCTGCAGGCCCCAGGATTTTTAAGTTGTTTCAGGTCCTAATATTTTTTCTCTTGTCTCATTCACCATGTCTTGTTCCTCATTATGAATCTTTCCTCCTCTTTTAATTTATGGCTTCTGTCTGTGTTATTTAAGGAGACCACGCATCCAGGCTTGTTAGGTTTACATGTGAAGTGTGAGTAAAACATCACGGCTCCGGGCACTGTCCTGTCCATGAAGTACACAGGCTTTGTGCACGCCTGACCTGCCGCCACTGTAAGGCTGTGCAGTGACGCGGGAGCTGATGCACTTTGGCCAGGAGTCTGTGTGTGAAACCCCATCTTCTCCCCAGGCATCCAGTGTCAATGGCACAGATGATGAAAAGGCCTCTCACGCGGGTCCCGCCGACGCACACCTGAAGTCTGAGAACAGCAAGCTGAAGATCGCTCTGACGCAGAGGTAAGGGTGTTCAATTCCAGAGGCGTTTTCTCCGAGGTCAGTGTCTCTCTGAAGACTTCCCTGCTGGGCAGGGTTTCGGGAAGCTGAAGAAGGAGACTGGGTCCTGCTCAGAGCGGCCACTCTGGTGTCCAGGCCAAAGGAAGAGCAGCTGGCTCCATGGCTGCTCTCCGCCTGGCTGACCATATCATACACAATTTGTGTGTGTGAGAGGCTGCGTTTGCTTGCATGCATGTGCAGCAGTATGTGAGAGAGTATATGAGAGTGTCAAGGAGTGTGTGTATGTGTGAGAGCGAGCAGTGTCACTGTGCTTCTGTTTTGTTTTTTGGGGGCAGCCAAATTTATCATTTATTTATATATGATAAGTTGTAGTTTTGAACATCCAGAAAAAAAAAACATGTAAAAACCTAAGAAGCTATTAAAATTAATATAAAATCTCACAAAAATCAATAGCTTTTCTATATACAAACAAACATCAAATAGGACATATAGTGAAAGAGGAGATTTCTTTTATAATATGAACTAGAACCATAAAATACATAGGAATAAACTTTAAAATGCACAAAAGCTTCTAAAATGATTTTGAAGACCATAAAGGAATAATTTAACTAATAGATATATTCTATTGAGAAGTGGTAGGAAGCCTTGATATTTTAAAAAGTATCAGTTTCTCCTAAATTGGTCTAGAAATTTAACACAGTCCCCATAATGATATCCGCGAGATTTTAATTTTTGATAACTACACAAGCTGTGCTTGTGGTTTTGTGTCTTGAGAATGTGGCCCATTTCCCAGAGGCTGGGCTGGGCT